AGTCGTAACTTATTATAATTGATAATTACTTTTTTCTTGTATACGGAAAACGATGAATATTGAATTTTTCCGAGATATTCTTTTAGCTTAGTTTAATTTTCCTTTTTCCTGTTTTTATTCGATGTGAATATTTAGAAACAACTTTGCACATTTAGAGACGATAATTAAAAGAACTAGCAGCCTCGAACTTTCATCTGGTGCTATCTGTCGCGTAAATGGCAAACCGTGGATGTTCCGTTTCTAATCCTGACAGTATCCTTCAGATATCGATCGCACGCTCGATTCGTGATGTAATCGAAACGCGTACACGTGGAACGTTTCTTTTCTTTCTCTTCTTTCTTTTTTTTTTTGATATCGTTGTTCAGTCACGCACTTACCAGACAGAGAATGAGATTCTTCACTCCGAGCAATCTGCGCAATCGTGTCTGTTATTCTTCCAAGACTCGACACTTTCTCCCCGGAGAAAGAGTTATTTTCTTAGCGAGGAGAGAAAAGATCGTAGAGATCTCTTTCGTGGATACGCCGCCACGTTCCAAATTCGACTGTATGTGATATGCGATGTACATATTATATAGTAGCGTTCTATTGTATCTATATGTATTAATAGAAATCATTCGACTCCTGTATATTGAACGTAATAAAAGTAATGCGATTCAATCAATCGTGGACGTGTTCTTTCCATCTTTCCCTGCTTCCTATTGATAAGAGAGAGAGAAAAAAAGCCATATTTAAAAAAATACCTCGAAGACTTTCTGAAATTGAAACTAGAGAATAATTTTTCACAAACCTTTCTTTAACGAATCTTACGAAGACGAAGAAATATTCGATTTTTCGGAATGAAACAGAAGGCGAGGTAAGGGTGCAACTTCATGGTGGTTCTTCATCTCTCTGAATGCGCCACCACTCGTTATAATCGAGGAGTACCCTCGAAGAGACGCACACATACACGCACACACACTGAATATCCGTCATATTCAGCCCCGATATGGTCACACCCTCTCATCGGCCTCTTCTTCGCGTTATTTGACTAATAAACTTCTATCCAAGTATCCTCTCCTTCCTCGTCGATCGAGACACAAGTTTCGCCTCTCCCGTGTAGTCGACAGGCCTCTCTTTGACGCGGCCGTTGACAGAGGACAATTAGGGGAACACCGAGGAGTCCCCGATGTGTGCGCGCGGAATGACAAGAGATACGTGGCTTTTAGGGACGAGGGCAAATCTGTGACGGGAGATATCGATCTGCCGTCTCATTTGCAAAGGAAAAGTTGAATGGAAAAGTTCGTGGGCGATGTTCGCGCGCGATTAGACCAACGAAGATGCTCTTCCACGTACGCAAATGGAAATTTTATTTATTTCTGCATAATTACGTTTCTTTCCTCTTTCCAATGTTTTTTGAAGGAAATTTTATGAAATTGATGATACATGATGAAATAGACGTAGCAAGAAGATAGAATTGTTAATTGTATACTGTATCGATGAAATTTTATATTATGAATAATATCATCAATATTATATCGTAGAAGGCATGTTATGTGTAACAAATTTAAAAATGTTTAAATTTAAATCAGGTTTATTCCTTTTCCCCTTGTAAGGAAACGATTAATAATTTGTATCGTGTATATATAAATAATGATATTTTTCCCCCAAATATTTTACATATTAAATTTAAATCGTGGTATCGTGATTAACACGAAGCACCAAGATCACTTCACCCCTTGTTGCTCCTATCAATTTTCGCTATTTTGCGGCTCGACTCTGGAATCACAATGACATCATTCGATCCGAGTCTCTTAACAGGTGCTTCGACTAATTTGCAGCGCGTGATCGCGTAGCTCCTCTTTGTTCACTTCGATGAACGGCTTTTCCGCTCCTGAAATCGTGTATACCTAATTCGAAACGTTAATACGACATTTATGGTATTATACTGTGAAATGGAAACGTACGATATTTGGAAAATTTTCCGGTTAATAGGATTAATCGATACGAGATTCGTGTAGCTTTAATCCGCCATTGTTATCGATTCTCGATTTGACAGTTATTATTATTAATATTATTTGAAAAAATGAAAGAGCTATATGTAATTTCTGGACTATTTTTAGCAAAAAATGGGAGGGAAAAAATTTATCCAATCTTTTTTTTCACATTCAATTTTGTCTTACGATTACTTCTTCAATCGTTTTTTTTTTTCATTTTTACTAGAAAACTTTAAAAAGAAAATGTATAAATGGATCATGGACAATCTGCAAGTACAATCTGCAATCATAAAAGTAAACTTCGAAAGACAATTGTCTGATTTATTTTTAATTATTTTTAATTTAAAAAAATAGTTTTTAAAGAAACGAAACGAGACTCACCTTTTTAATATGGGGTGTATCTTATCATCAACCTCATTCGAGTCTCTTACAGAAAATCTGACATCTCGCAAAGATTGCGTTCGGAGCAGAATAAGTTAAATCGATGTATCGATTTTTATTCTGACTCGATAAATCCGTCCATTGACAGGAAGATCACTGAAACAATCGCAAGAATAAGAACAATTCTCCATTGTGTTTCGTGCACGGAGAAAGAACTACTATCGAAAAGATCGTGCATCTCGATCGTGAAGATAAAAATAATGAAACAGAACCTACCTCCGTGACAACTGGCAGATCCATTAATCCATCGTAAGGCGATTACAAGCCATTCTCTGTGGAATGATTAATTAAGAGCGCAACTTGACAACGAGCAAAGAAACAAACAACAATTTCCTATTGATCTGATTACGAACGAAAGAATAGTTTCCCAGAAAAAATAGTTAGATAACATTTTGGATTACATGGGAAAATGGGATTAAAATTGTTTTATTATGCAACAATGGTTGAAAATTGAATACAGATCGAGTTTAAAACGTATATTTGTATATTATTCGTGAATTTGTTTCGTTATCTATCATTACTTTTTGCTCACCGATTTATTCCAATTACATCCATTTTTATTCTCTATGATCGATCACTTTTTAACAATTTTGAAATTCATGAAAAGTAACGAAATTTTAACATCAAATTAGATAATTTTCAGAACTCGGAATTTATCTGAACGAAACTAACGCACTATGAAAAATAAATCAGATATACAACGATTGGAGATACACGGATTATCCGAATCTAAATTCCAATTTTTAAACGAAAAGTTAAAGGACAATCAATGAATCTGTCGAATTTACATAAATAAATTTCTAACGTATCTATAAAAATTTGTACGACTTCTTTATTTCTTTTTATTCAACTCAAAGATAAGTCTATGCATCTTATGTATCATTTACATTCGTGAAACTCTTCACCAAGCAACTTAAGAAGAATCTCTTTAATAACAAGAGATAAGCCGTGGCGTGGAAACATTTCGTGCGACACTTGCGCTCCAACATTAACATACATATAGAAAGAGAGAAAGAGAGAAAGGATTAAAGGAAGAAAGAGAAAGGGTGAATATTAAGCAGAAAATCTCTAGCTGCTCCGTCAGCAGCTTTTGCATTTCGGTTTGGTTCCCTGAAACGATCGGATCCAACGATTATGAACACCGAGGTGGAAAATAAATTGCGGAACTCTAAACTGAGAGTACGTGGAGCACATTCACAGGGGATAGATACCGATAGATCCCCCTCCCCGATTTATTGTTCGGGTTCGAACTGTCGTTCGGTTTAAAGGCAGAAAACACGGCTTTCACTCGGGGTAAAGGGGGTGAAAGCGGAACGGGGGCAGCGGGGGATCGAATGTAGAGGGGGAGGGGGGAAGAGGTGAGCGGGTGGTGCATGTGCATTATTGGAACGCGACGAGAGATTAAAAACGACTTTTTCCAAAGGATCGGTTCCATTGACTGGGGTGCATTGCGGCGAGTCCTGAATAATGCATGAAATTTGTTCCCCGGAATCGAATCGCTTCTCGTCACCGCCCGGCACCGGAACAAGAGAGCGGGCATAAATCTAAATAATTTCAACCCTCGAATTTTTATTATTCCTATGACTACGTCTGCGCCTCCCGCGTTTGAATATGCATGCCTCGCTTTCCGCACTTCGACCTCGAGTGTTCCACCTTTTGTGTAACCAGCCCTTCGCCACAATCACGATCAGTGCACCTTGCACTTGCCGCTTATAGATCGTCAAACGTTGTTAAACGATCGCTTAGAGATCGCTTGTTTCGGTCGTTTCGAATAAATTTCGATTAGACCGAAAGGAGATCAACTCGGAGAAACGGTTAATTTCTTCTTTTAACAGATGTTTATCTGATTTCTAAGTTTCAATTATATTTCTTCAATTGGTCATACTTTTGTAGCTGTAACTTTAAAAAGGATAAAATAAGAAATAGTTAATATATGTATATAAGAAAAATTTTCGTCATTCTATATATATATATATATATATATATATATATATATCATAGTTGAATAGAAAATTTAATATTAAAAATTTACTAGAAGTCGGTCATTACTCACTCGGGGAATCTCGATAAATCACGGAAAGTATTAACGAGCAGCGAAGATGACACCGGATCTTTCCCCATTCCTTTCTCTTCCTTCGCCGACCATGA